CGCTGTGGCTCAAGTGGTAGAGCGCTAGCCTTGAGCTGAAGAGCTGAGGGACAGTGCCCAGGCCCAGAGTTCAGGCCCCATGACCGGACCCAAAAGAAAAAGAAAAAAAAAGAAGCTGAGATCTGAGGATCGTGGTTTGAAACCAGGCAAAGCAGAAAGGAAGTCTATAAGAATCTTATCTCTAATTAACTACAAAAGCCCAGAGTGGAGCTATGGATCAAGAGTGCTAGACTTGAATTAAAATAAAAACCTCAAGGATAGTACCTAAGCCCTGAGTTCAAGCCCCAGGACCAGCATACATACAACACACACACACGCACACACACACACACACACACACAGTATAACCATACAAAAATTTACATTGGTATATTTATAGTCACTCTGTTCATTAATGGCACAAACTTAGAAGCAACCAAAATGTCTTTCAGTGAGTTAATGAGTAAAGAAATGGTCTGATCTAGACAATAGGATAAAACGCAACACAAAATAAAGAAATGAGCTATGGAGCCATAAAAAGACATGGAGGAAAGTTAAATATGTATTAATGTGTGAAGGAAGCCAATCTAAAAGGCTTTTGCTATAAAACAGATCTCCATTACCAGGTACAGAAGATAAGTAGACAGACATTATAGCAATGTCCAAATCCATAGAATGTACAATGCCAAGAACAACCACAAATGCAAATCATGAAGTTTAGTGATATGATATGTCATTGTAGATTAATCAACTGAAACAAATGTACCACTAGGGATGGGAAGGTGGCTCAGTGCTGGAGTGCTTGCCTTGCATGCATGAGGACCTGGGTTCGATTCCTCAGCACCGCATAAGCAGAAAAAGCCAGAAGTGGTGCTGTGGTTCAAGTGGTAGAGCTCTAGCCTTGAGCTGAAGAGCTGAGGGACATTGCCCAGGTCCAGAGTTCAGGCCCCAGGATTGACAAAAAAAATGTACCACCCTAGTTGAGGATGTTGGTAATGGGGGAGACTGATTTTATATGAGCAGGGAATATGCAGAAAATCTATGTACATTTCTCTTACTTTTGTTGTGAATCTAAAACTGCTTTAAAATAGCCATTTCAATTTTTTTTAATATTTTTAACTGGTTGGCTTGGATTTCTTTAATATTTGAGATGTCTGACCACCAACTCATTATAACTCAGGAAATAAACTCTTACCAGTAGAACCAAGTTGAGAGAATATGTGAATAATATTTAGGACTTTTCTTTTTATTGATTCCAGAAAGAATCGATAACAATAGATAACCAACACTTACTATATGTGAAGTGCTGTTCTAAAAATTATTTAAGGGCTGGGAATGTGTATTAGTGATAGAGTGCTTGCCTAACATGCATGAAGCCCTGCGTTCAGTTCTTCAGTACCACATAAACAGAAAAAGCCAAAAGTGGTGCTGTGGTTCAAGTGGTAGAGTGCTAGTCTTGAGCAAAAGAAGCTTAGGGGCAGTGCCCAGGCTCGGAGTTCAAGCCCCAGGACTGGCAAAATAAATAAAAATTATTTAGTTCTCACAAAACCCTTTGAGGTAGATATTAAATCATTTTCATTTTACAGGTAAAGAAACTGAGGCAGAGATGAATTTTTATTTTCCCAGAGTCACACAGCTCATAACAGGAGGTATTTAGAATCCAGCAAATTTGACTTTCAGTCTGTGGACTTGACCATGACATAATAATTCCATTCTGGTGAGAACTCCTCAACCATTAGTCAATCTGAGGTTATCAGAGTCACCAGTCTCTTTCCCAAACCAAGCGAGCCATTTGGCAAGAAGAATTAACATACCAGAACCTGATTCTCTAAAGAAATATGAAAACTAACTAGGAATCACTTCCAGCACTTGAGAGGCAGAGACAGGAAGATCATGAGTTCGAAACCAGCTTGGGGTCCATATTGAGTTAAAAGTTAGGCTGGGTTACATAGTAAAACATTGTCACATACTAAGACCCTGTCTCAAAAAAATGCATAGCAATCTAATGAGAAAATCTCACTTGTGTTCTAGAAAATTTCCTTTGTAAGCTTGACTAACAGAAATGTAGAGTGTGAGTTTTAAGCAACAATGTTTTTTAAAAATGAAATCCTAAATATATGGGGGGGAATTAACATATAGTCATTAGAGTAAGATGACATCATGAAAAACTTCATCCTGAAATGAGACAGTGGCACAGCCTAACTTCAAGGTTCATTCTATTTGATTATTCTGAAGAGCTTTACTACACACATTCTGTAACATTCTAATTCCTAATGGATTCTCCACAAAAAAAGATGAATAGTAAGTTGCTAGATACTGCTTTCATACCATGAATAAAATAACCATTCTCCAAGAATAAACATCTAGACCGAAGTGGCCCGGGAAATTTGTTAAATCTATCCTCCACTTCCAAAAAGAACTAATCCGTACCTGAACTTTGTAAAGTAAGTCATGGAGAGGAAGCTTGTGATTAAGAGAATTCAGGAGTCTTGCATGATGAGTCAATGAGAATGACCTTTGGGAAGGAGGTAAGTACCATGTGTCCCAAGCCTGCTTTGATGGAGGAAGAGCGGTCTATGATCTATGCAGCCACTTTAGTCTGGGAGCCAACTCATCCCCCAAATGGTGCTTATAATATATGCTTAACTTATTTTGCAAAAGATGTGAAGTTAATTAGTATTTATAAACTATCTGGAGATAAATAGATTATGCTAATAATACTTTGCAACCTCATAATACTTCCTATCTAAAAAAAATCTCAGCCCTTGTAAACTATCATACTGACAATACATTTTGTTTTTCTGATTAAAATTTTGACCAGGTCACAACAAAATCAGTAGTAAGTCTCTAAATACAAGATGAATCTCTTCCTA